TCCCAAAATCTTGAACTAGGTCTAGCACAAAATATTTTTATTGAATTTAATTCTGACACGTCGCTATTATTCTCTGATATCAGACTAAACGAACTTTTCTTTTTGCCAATATCTTGTCCTTTTTTAACAGTCAAAGTTTTAACATTTTGTTGTTCAATTGGTATTTTATAAAAGCATGCACCAAATTCTCCATTTCTTCCTTTATTACCTATTTGTTTATATTGTTCATGGATTGTATCACATATATAGCAACGTGTTAAAGTTGATATCAATAAAAGAGAGGAAGAATAATTTAATTGTACAATACTGGATTCTAAATTCATTAATATATGTGATGGTGATTGAAACATTCCATTAACCTGAAACAATTCAAATATCGTATAAACGAATGTACTCAAATTCTGTAATATTACAAATAAATTAAACGTGAATCATTGTTCAGAGATAAATAAAAGACTTACCGTAAAAACAGATAATATGATAACAGAAACTTTGCCCGTACCATCACCGACATATATTTCTGAACTATTATCATTCCAACAGAGACATGTAATCTTTTCATAAGCATGTTCATTTGATGTTGCAACTAATTTAATGGTAGGCTTTAAAGTAACTATACACACAATTCCACGTGTTGTTGCTAACGCTATGGTTTTTTCGTCAGGTGATATAGAAACAAGAGAAACAATACCTTCCTAAACATGAACAAACAAAATAATATTAAACATAAGACATTATACAATCAGGTTAATAAATTTCAAATATTATTGATAAGAAAGGTTACCGATAAAGGTATTAATTGTTGAAAGGTACATGGTTCTCGATTAAAGAGGTAGATACTTCCACTGGTTGATCCAAGTATAATATAATTTTGTGAAACATTAAGGCATGTGTACTGTAAAATATGTAAATAGTTTTTAAATGATAAAATTAAAAATATATTAAAGAAAGATAAACCTAACCTTTAACAATACAAATAAGAAAGGTCAATTATTAATAACAAAGTGATGATACACAATAAATCTTTTTATTAATTTAATATTATTACATATACATTAAAATATATTATTATAAACAATAGTTTTACCTTAATTCTTTGTGTCGAATTTATAGGCTTGTGTAACACTTGATTTATTTCTTCGCATTCCGACAATATATAAGGAAATTCCTGCATAATCTAAAGAATATTTTTTTTTGTTTAAGAATATTAATCTCTCTAGTGTAATAGACGTTAATTTGACAAAAAAAAGAAAAACGTTCTTAATTTAGGAACACGAATTCACTTTTATCTGTGTGATACATATAAAACGTCATTGCTTTGAACTTATACATATACATAAATATCTATATATATATATGTACATGTATGAACATAACCTTATATATATAAATATATATATTAATATATACTATTTATATTTATGTCTTAATTTTACATTTAATTATTCATTTAAGTAAATTCGTATTTGTTAATAAATTAACTGTAATAAACAAATATTTAACAGGATAGTACAAATTTTGTAATACAAAAATAAAAAGATTCCAATTTTAAAATTGAAATAATGAAAATCTTGAATTTTGTTTTATATTATTGCAGAATCAATAAATCTAAGAATTATTTATGCATAATTACACATGCCTTATTCATTTAAATATTTCTGTATAAAACAATTAAAGTAAAACTAAAAATTAATTTCTGATATAAAATTCAACGTTTTTTTTATTTAAATGATAACCAAGAATTGGAATATTTTTTTAACATAATTCATAATAATCCACACACATGATTATTAATTAGTCAAATATTAAATTCGTTGTAATATTTACAATATGTGTTATTTGTTTAAATAGAATAATTTTGTCCAACTATATCAAAATTCCACAAAAACGACATTTGAATTTTCCCGCCATTTTTGTTCTGTTTTAGTGATAAAATATTTGAACTCATGCGAACAACAAATATATTATAGTAAATTAAATACAATATATATATATATATATACATATATATATTGTCTTTTTTTGTTTATGTTATTGTTGTTGTTTGTTTTTGTGAATAAAATATGTAATTTATGCTTATTCCTTCAGAGAATATAAATTATTATTTTAAACATTTTCAAATTTCATTTGTTTAAATTGTACGTTGCATTCGCATATCATTTGATGAGATGTCCGTTCAAAAATCCTATTGCCATTCTGTTTTGTCGTTTGAAATTCATTTAATTCGTTGAAAAAAGGTCTGACATGACTGGAATATTTCTCCTTTCTGCATGTATTTAAAACTAATTTACAAAGATCCACATGATTTTTGTGAATGTTGAACTGATTCGGATGTTCCGGTTGGTTCAGATATGTGTTTCCGGTTTGGTTCTTGTTTTGATTAGGGAGTTTATTTTGATTTGGAAATGTATTTTCATTTTGAGATTGGTTTTCATTTGGAGATGGAGATTGGGATTGATGTTTAGTGATGTTCAATTGTTCTCGTTGATAGCAGATTTGTGGAGTGTGTAATATAAATTGTCTAGCCCATTTTTTAATTGCTGAAGGTTTGATCAAAGTTTCTTCATATTCTTCATTCGATAATATTTCATTATTATAATTGGGAGTTTCCTTATCTAAAGTTATATCCTTTGATAAAAAAGTTTCCATTGATTTCACCGGTGTTGTTTGATTCCTTTTGATACCATAAATCGGTCGAATCGTTGCACTCCTATTCATCTATAATATTATTATAATAATAAGATATAAGATTAAAATATAAGATTGCACAAATGCAAATCTAGGGTTTTTTTTTTATAGTTATATTGTGTGGTCAATAAGTCCATGCGATTTATTGTACTTATAAATTAACGACAAAATATTATATATAAATAATATATATACAAATATATATAAATAATATATAAATACAACGACAAAATATAATATATAAATTAACGACAAAAATTGCATGGATTAATTGATCAAATTAATATATAATAATACATGAATATTATGAATTATATTAATAGACAAAAAAATAACAAATCTATTAATATATATATATATATATATATATATATATATATATATGTATGATATCTTACATCAATATTATCTCTATCCTTATTGTTATCATCATTGGAGACCATTTGTGCTACTCTTGGTATAATTGGTATATTGTATAATTCATTATTCACTTCATATTTATTATAAAATTGATTTTTCTCGTTTATTTGTTTATTTATATTTTTATTAATTCTCATGAAATTGCTTAATTTTTCTTTGAGATTTTTCTTATGATTGGATTTTTTGTTAATTACAGTCTCATCCAAATGTTTATTCTTATTGTTCCAATTTTCTTTATCACTGATTTTATTGACAAAAGGTGAAGCCAATTGGTCTGTTAAAAAAGAATCATCGTTTTCAATGTTTCTTTCAAAAATTTCTGAATATCTTTTAGATAAAAATGGATTTTTTTTTGATATTTTGTCTGTTTTATCATAAGTCGATAACGTAGGTTTAACATCTTTATTGGATGAATTATGATAATGGGGGGATGTAATTCTCGGTATTGAAGTTTTCATGAATGATTGTTTTAAAAATTCGTTATTGGCATCTTTTTCACCGGATGATTTATATTTATTTTTCTTGTCAAAATTAGAAATTAATTTCATTAAGAAATTTTGGGATTTTTCTGATTTAACCAATGGACCAAATTCGATGTATTCTTCGTTGTATAAATCATCGTACGAATTACACATACTATATTTTTTCTCGATCAAATTTTTCGCATGGTTGTTATCGAAATATATTAAGCTTGATATGCTTGACGTTGATTTCGAACGTTTACGTTGTTTTGGCATTATTATTATTAACAATATTAATTTTTCACAAATTAAAAAACAAAACAATAACAAAATTTCTTCAGAATATTATACGTCACTTTTAAAAATATTTATCTTTAATTTTAATTAATTTATCTAATTATAACAATTATTTAACAAATTATCTTTTATTCTCACTTACAAATTTGATATATAACTGAAGGAAGGTTAAACTTTAACCGTCATTTAATATTATAAGACAATGTATATTTACAGGTCAAATTTTTTCTTATTAACAATGTCATTGATAATACTTTCATTTTAAATATATAAATGAATAAAACGTTAAAAAGGTTAATCATTTATTAATCATATATATATATATATATAAATAATTCATATTTTTTTTTATTTTTATTAAATTAATATTGTTTTTATATATTAAAAGTTTTTATATTTTATATATTTTAAATTGTATATGACTGTGATCATATAAAGATTAGATAAACGACATGATACATCAAAGTAAATCTAGTGCCATCTCGTGGAAATTTTGATAAACAGTTCTAGTAAAAAATAATTTAGTAATTTTATTTATAAGTGTGACATAATTTATAATATATTTATCTTCATTATATAGTACATAGTTTACCAATGTATAGTTTCTAATTATTCTAATTTATAAATTTCTATTATAACAAAAAAACTAACGTTTTACATATTTGAATTATAGCAGAAATGTATTCAAATTTCCCGCTCAAAAGTAACAACATATTCCAAACATTATTAAGATTAATTGACATTTTCGAGAGTGATTTATGTATTAATTTGTTCGTAATTTAATTGTTAATACATGAAATAGAATATGTTTAATTTCAGAAATATAATAATATATTTATGTATAATTATATTCTTTATCTTCAAAAAGGTAGGATGTAAGAATATATTTATAACCTTAAATTATAACTTTTTAGCGCCATTTTAATGAATATTTGAATAATGAAAACTAAAATAAAATCTTGTTTTATATTCATTTTAATCATATACTTTTTTTCAGGTCATGGGAAATAATATTTGATTCAAAAGATCATCCATTTGAGTTGTAACGTTCACAAGATATCTATAGAAATATAAATAAGTATTTTTAATTCAAATATTGAATTATAAACGTTTATTTCCAAAACAAGCGTTTTGTTTAAATGTAAAAAAAATTGTTTCACAGTTATATTTAATTGTCACAGTGTAATTATTTTTATATAACATAAAGAATAATGTCAAAGAGAAAAGGTTTAACTTTGGATGAAAAACGAGCGAGAATGCTTCAAATATTTTACGAGAGAAAAGAATTCTTTACTTTAAAGGAAATAGAGAAAATTGCACCTAAGGAAAAAGGCATCGTTGCTCAAACTGTTAAAGATGTTCTTCAAACATTGGTAGACGATGGTTTAGTTAGAACTGACAAAATTGGAACTTCTGTATATTTTTGGACATTTCCTGGGTAAGAACATATTAATGAAAGATATATAAAACATTTTAGATTATTACAATGTTAAAAAGTAAAATTATTATTTAAGAGAGAACATAACTGCTGTAGAAAGTAGGATAGCATATGCGACTAAAAGAATAGTCGAAGCAGAGTTCAAGCTACAAAAATTGAAAGAAGAATGTATAAAAGAACAGGTAAAACGTACGTTGAATGTAATTTACAATTTTTTATAACTTATTAGGATGATTAATGTTTCATTTGTTTGATAATGAAATATGTAGGCTGGTAGAGAAGATACAGAAGAGAGGCGAAATTTATTACAACAAATACAATTATTAAAAGAGAAAGAAAATGAATTGAAAAGTCAAATCGCTAAACTTAGCGAAGTCGATCCAGAAGTGATAGAACAGATGGCTAAGAGAGCACAGGTATGCTAATTCACATGCATTAGGTAAATAAAAAAAATAATCAAGTTATTTTTATTAGATGTTCAAAGAGGGAACAAATGTATGGACAGATAATATCTTTTCCATTCAAAGTTGGTGCAAACAAAAATTTGGTATAGCAGAAGCGGACCTCAATAAACAATTTGGTATCCCTGAGGATTTGGATTATAAGGAGTGAAGTAAATTTACATATTGAAGCAAATATAATTGTATTTGTATATTTTTCTAATTAAAATTAGTGTTATCTTTTTATTTTTGTTTATATAAATCTGCGTACCATTCAAACAATTTCTGAATTTATTTTAATAAGATTGTTAAATATTACATTTTGTTCTTTTAAAATTATATTAATTTCGTATCAATGAGAAAAAAAAGAATTCTAATCTAATTATAATATTTATTAAAAATAAAGCATTAATTTATAAATATTTTGCACGGATATTTAATATTGCAATACGCTTGCAGAAGTTTTCTATTTGCTAATATACCCCGTTTTCCAATTACAAAGCATAATGCGACTCAGTGTCGCACAATGCCGCATTGTGCTAATGCTTAATTGGAACATGAATTAGTTTTCAAGTGCACCAGCAGAGTGCGCTAAGTTCAGTGTTGAAACAAAAAATATTCATAGACTTAGCAACCTCATTAATGTATAAATAAAGTGGTAAACAATAWTAATTGGTCGAAAACTATTTACGGTTATTTTAAGTAATTTGGATTTTGATTATTTCATTAACATTTTTTAAATAAATTTATTTATAGTTTATTTTATTTTTTTTCATAAATTTATTTATAGTTTTGTATTTTAAAATGAAATTGTATTCACATTTTATGTGTAGAATATAAAAAAAAAATAGTCAATGTTTATATCTTCATCCATACTTATATTTATTTTTTAACAGTCTGAATTAACTTTTTATTATTTCCAAAAAACTACGACGAGAAGAAAGCTTTAAGAATTTTTTCAATAATAAACAATATTACTAACGATAATATAAATAAAATTTCGATCAATGCCAACTTAAAGAAAAAACACTTGGTTATTTTCTGCTACTGAGTTGGTATCGATTGCAAGCATCACGCGAAAGCAACACTTTTTACAGTGCTCGATTGTGCGATGCGATGCTCTAGTTGAAACATTCAACGTTGAGCATTATGCCGCATAATGCGCTTTAGTGCTGTAATTGGAAAACGGGGATAGTTTCACTTTTTATTCCATCAGCCAAACAAATACATGAGCGTGTTCAGTGGTTGCACCACACTCATTTATTCCACCAATCAACGGCGTGAGCGTGTGTTGTCCACTCGCATTTACTCCACCAATCAATGAGCGACGTAAGCACATGCGACGATCACGCCTCTAGCGGATTTTACAGTAATAAATTCTAAACAATTAAAATGCGATCAGTGTACATTTAGCTCTTAAGAAGTAAATACGTATTTATTCGGTTAAATTCATAACGTTGCAAAATGGCTGAAGTTAAATCGCGTCGTATTGCTCAGGCAGAAGATTTATCAAATGTCGAATTTGAAACGAGCGAAGATGTCGAGGTTATTCCTACTTTTGATAATATGAACCTTCGAGAAGAATTATTAAGAGGAATTTATGCATACGGTAAAATATTTATTTACTTTATTCGAAATTTAACTCATTGTATTATAGTTTGATGCACTGAAGGTGCTTTTCAAACACCATGTCATATTTTACATCCTATAATAATAATCCTTTATTTTTTTTCTATATTTTATCCTATCATAAATTGTATCAAGAGTCTCACTTGATTTTGTAGGTTAAGAGATTAGCACGAGCTAACCTACAAATTATATACGTCAATTGCTGTTAATTCTATATTAACAATCTTTATATATCTAAATTTTTCAAAACTTGATACAAAATTTGCAAAAGATTTACACAAACAAAATGTAGAAAATATTTGTCGTATTTATATCAAATGATATAATTAATGTTTACCATTAATTTACCAGGTTTCGAAAAGCCATCAGCTATTCAACAAAGATCAATAAGACCTATAATGCAAGGTAGAGATGTGATAGCACAAGCACAATCCGGTACAGGAAAAACTGCTACGTTTTCAATCGCTATACTACAATCTTTGGATACCGAAGTACGAGAGACACAAGTACTTGTTCTTTCACCAACACGAGAACTGGCAACACAAATACAAAAAGTAATTCTTGCATTGGGTGATTTTATGAATGTACAATGCCATGCATGCATTGGAGGTACAAATCTTGGCGAGGATATCAGGAAACTTGATTATGGTCAGCACGTAGTATCGGGTACACCTGGAAGAGTATTTGGTACGTAAAAGTTATTGTTATTAATGATCATTTAACATTTTCTTATTATACTTGCATGCATTTCCATTGTAACAAATACTTATGTTTTTTTTTTTTTTTAAAGATATGATTAAAAGAAGAGTATTACGTACCAGAGCAATTAAAATGTTGGTATTGGATGAATCTGACGAAATGCTTAATAAAGGTTTCAAAGAACAAATTTATGATGTTTATCGTTACTTACCACCAGCAACACAAGTTGTATTAGTATCCGCTACATTACCCCATGAAATTCTTGAAATGACCAGTAAATTTATGACAGATCCAATTCGTATTCTTGTAAAACGGTAAATATATCATTATTATTATATTTAATATGTTTATATATATTATATATAGAAACTAAATTTGATTAATTTTTTTTCAAACAGTGATGAGTTGACTCTAGAAGGAATAAAACAATTCTTCGTTGCCGTCGAACGAGAAGAATGGAAATTCGATACTCTTTGTGACTTATATGACACATTAACAATTACCCAAGCAGTTATATTTTGTAATACAAAACGTAAAGTCGATTGGTTGACGGAAAAGATGAGGGAAGCTAATTTTACGGTTTGTTCTATGCACGGTGATATGCCTCAGAAAGAAAGAGATAATATTATGAAAGAATTTCGTTCTGGACAAAGGTAAATATTAATTTTAAATAATAATAAGAATTTGTTATTTCATTATGTTGAAATTTTGGATATTCATTTTATTCTCATTTATTTTTGTAGCCGAGTTTTAATCACAACTGACGTTTGGGCCAGAGGAATTGACGTTCAACAAGTATCTCTTGTTATTAATTATGATTTACCAAATAATCGTGAATTGTATATTCACAGAATAGGTAGATCAGGTCGATTTGGTCGTAAAGGTGTTTCAATTAATTTTGTCAAAACCGATGACATCAGAATATTGAGAGACATCRAACAATATTATTCAACACAAATTGATGAAATGCCTATGAACGTGGCTGATTTAATTTAAATTATATTAACATATTTGATTTATATTATTTTCTTTTCTTTTCTTTTTTACCCCTCTCTTATTAAATCATGTTTAAAAAAAAAAAAGAAAAAACAAATAATTTCAAACGATGAAATATATGAATATTATTATTGAAACAAAAGAAAAAAGAAAACGAAACTTTCGTTGATATTGCAAGTGGAATGAAAAAAAAAAGAAAAGAAAAAATAATAAGTTATTAAAAAATAAATACAATTAAATAATTAAGTGGTAATATAAGTAAAAATGTGTACGCGTACATTATTCATATATAGATATATATATGAATGAGTGATAAAGAGTATCATCAATGTATATACATTTTTATTTTGATAAAAGCGTTACTGTTAATAAATGTTAATAAAATAATAGTACAATGATACACATTTTTATTCAAAATATAATTTTATACTTTATAATAATGAAAATATGCGATGTTTGTATTTTAAATTACTATTTTGAACACCCATTTCAATGCATCCATGTAATAGGGACATTTTCGTTTGTCTAGTTTATATTAAAAAGTTCTTATTTTGTCTATAACCTATCGTTGCAATCGTAGAACTATAGAAATATAAAAAAATGAATATAAACATATAAAAAAATCGAGAATATTTTAACTTAATAATATTTAAATGAATATTATGAAAAAATTAAGTATTGTGTATTCTTCAATGTTTCCWTTTATAAAATACAAAAAAGTTCTATCACTCATAGAACATAAAATATTGAATGTATAAGGTAAATATCTTATGTGATTTATATGATATTAATATCATTAATATCAATTTCTTGATAAATTTATATAATTTTAATATATAAATTATTACATTAGAGAGGTTAGGTTAAACTTGATTATGGCTGAAGGAAAGGAGGACTTTGATGTTAATGAAGTTTTTGAAAAATTATTATTTGCTGAAGATAAAGCACAAGAATCTGCTTATGCGGATGGATATCAAACTGGAAAAAATAGATTATTACAAGGATATCATTTAGGATATCATAGAGCAACTATAGTTGCTGCACAATTAGGTTATTATTGTGGTGTTTTAGAACAATATTTACAAAGTAATAATACGACTAATGAAAAAATAATATCATTAGCTAAAGAAATTTTAACTAATATTTATCATTTTCCTAAACACAACGATGATACTACTGATATTTTAAAAATATTGGATGATATTAAATATAAATATTTAAAATTTTGTTCCTTAGCTAAATTAAAACGTGGTGTACATCCARAAATGAACTTTCTTGATTTTTAAAATCAATTTTATWTTGGATTGTATTAAAAATTATTTTACAAGATGATTCATTATGAGGAACATTTTTCTAAAATAATCGATTTTTTGAATTTATATCAGCAATTAATTGATTGTCATTTAGTTGACTTTATCAGTCATAAATTGTGGGATAAATGTTTACCAGAATTATTAAAATTAGAATTGGAAAACATTGAAACGACTAACGATATTTGGAAAGAAAATGAAAACGTTAGTCGATTAAATGAATTTATACGAATGACTAAATCATTGTCTTTGCAATCATGTCCAATGATATTGAATTATAAAGATATTCCAGAATGTTTAAATTTAAATTTAAATCTGGATAATCAAGAATTGAATGTTGAAACAAATAACAAAGRTGTTGGATTTATGAGTGAAAAAAAATGTCACGAAGTGGAAACACTTGGTCGTGTAATTGGACAAATAGCAAAATCAACTGAAAGTTTGGTAATAGATGCAGGCGCTGGAAAAGCTTATTTGTCTGCATATTTATCGGATAATTACAAATTACCTGTACTTGCAATCGATTCATCAGATCTTTGAAACAGAGGAGCCGTTCATCGAACATAAAAAATGAAGAAAGTGGGAAAACAAAATTCATCTTCGGTATTATTATAAAATACTTTATTTTCTTTTTTTTCTAATTATAAAAAAAATTTCTAGTTATTATTAATTTAATTACAATTAATAATATATTGTAAAAATAATTTTTTAATGTTTACATTCTCATCTTTCGTTTGTTTATTTTTTTTTTTTTCTACAGGTCAAATATATAGTTGCAAAAATTGATGACAACACGGATTACAATAAAATGGTTCATTTAAATTTTCCAAATTGGAATTTAAATAATAATTGAATATTAACTGGACTGCATACGTGCGGATCTTTAGCTCATTCTATTATAAATGTCTTCCTGCATAATAGTAATTTTAAAATTATATGTTTTGTACCTTGTTGTTATCATTTAGTCAACGAATCGTTTAGCAAAAGAATGACATTTTCACGAAATGCCAGAATGTTGGCACAAAAGTGTATAGAAAGAACTAAAAAAACCAAATTTTTGTCACCAACGTTGTTTTACAGAGCATTGTTACAAGTACTTTTACATTCTATGGGTAAAAATGTTCATCTATAATTAATATAATTAATTACAATTAAATTTTGCCAGATTTAGATTAGGGAATGAATGGAGGGCAAGCAGATATTGGATAAAAGAAGATGAGAAAATCATGTGCAGACTATGTGGGACAGAGAAAGAAACAGGAGTGCATGTAATGAAGGAATGCAATTACTTGGAAACGGAAGAAAGGATAGAAGAGCTGATGGGAGAAGAAGGAAAGGGGATTGAATGGATGAATGAACTAATTAGAAGGAGAGAGCAGCGTTAAGAAGCAGTAGCAGAAAGAAGTTGTAAATAAATGTGTATATGTAAAAATGTAAAATGTTATTAAATAAGTATTATATTAAAATGGTGTCGGCGTACCCTATGTATCCCGAAAGGGAGTCATTATTTTGAATAAAAAAAAAATTACAATTACATTGTACGAGTACATGTATATACGTACTCTTTTTATGCATTATACTCTCTAACCAACTTACGTATTATTTATTATACGTATATCGATAATATTTTAAAAGTTGTTTGATATGCTTTTCTAGAAGTGAAAACTTCATTAGAATCAGAGTTATTTGAAACCGAAAAGAACAAAAAAGCGAGGTTACTGGATGAAACGTACACGTTTCATCGAGATAAGAAAAAGGTAAAAGAGATAAAAACATTTGCATCTATAGCATTTAGCCTGCGAGAGTATGAGATAGAATAAGGCATGCAGCTTTTCCTATTCTCGGTATTTTCTTTGTGCGGTACTTCGTAGTCTCCACTCCTGGATACTAAGCGTTGTATATGTGTTCGTTTTTTTGCGATTGTATAGTAGAATTCGTAGACTTATATTATCTGAATACACATATAAAAAGAAGTTTATGGTCTCTTTTATAAGTGTAATGACTATTCAGAATATTAATGGTATACTGATTGGTTGTTTATGCCGTTTACTTAATAAAGAAGAGGCGTAGCTTTTACAGTAGACATTAAACGATCATTTGAAATTAGTAATTAATATTATTATTATTCTATAATAATTAATATTGAATAATAATATGTTTTTTTACAATGATTTTAGAAGAAAAAATTTGATAGAATCATTGTGATTCAAAACACGTTGAAACGAAAAAAATATGACTAAAATTGTTTCGTTCTATGTCAAGACATCTAAAGAAATTAGTTGCAACAGAAAATACTTGGTTGTGCTAACTAATAATAAAGATCTCTCAAATGCATAGAAGAGTTTACATTTACCTCAGTTTTAAAAATTGAATTCAGTATATTTATTTAGTTTGAGACGTGGTATCTTTTCGTCGATAAGCATCCTACAATTTTGTTGTTTGTCTATGGCTATCTATGGTTAGAATTTGGAAAGATGAAGTTTTTGTAAGGGACACCAAACCCTAGATCATACCGGTTCCCTTCGTTATATATGAAAACAATGTTATAATAAATAAACTCTGCAATCATCTTACTCCTATTACTGTGCACTCTTCTCATTCTCTCGAAACTTGCTTTTTTGAAGGTTTCACTTCTAACATGTATGATCTGCAAACATGATATTTAATTAACTAACTTTAATCAACTAACTTACGGATTTATTTTGTATTTATAATTTTGTGTGCTTGAATCAACAATTTCAATACACTTTTCATAAAGTAATGCGGAGCACTTAATTTTAAGAACACATATATATAAGTTAAAAATTTTCGATTATTGTTTTTTTACTTTTATCTATAAATAAAGGATCTAAGTATGTCACGTCCCAGTGACGACTAATTTTGAACTTTGCTGCGCTAATTATGCGAGTGTCCTATTTATAAGTCGTTAGTCGATTACTATTTAGCTATATTCGTACCTTGTAAAATTTGTATTCTTAATTTTGTCGTATAACCACTTTCATGAACGACCATCGATATTGGCATTTGTTTATYACACGTAAATATAATAGCAAGGATCTATTGTCGTTTATGATCGTGAGAAAGTAAGTGATAGGTAGACTTTTGCAGTCCTACAGTACTCACTTTCTTGCTGACTATAGTTGATATCACGCTTCAAAGATAGAACGCGCGTGTCTTTTCGTAGAATTCACGGGTAACCGTAACTGATATTTGTTTAAACAAAAAATGATACTTTTCTAAATTCGCAGAATCCACGGTTGATAGTAACTGATATTTTTCCATTTCGAGGAATCGTAGTCAGCAGCATGTAATATCCCAAAATTTGCAGTTTACCGAATGAAAGTGAGTAGTAGGGGAGGCATTTTGCGCAAGTGGGAGGTGTTCCCACACTTTCGGATTGGACCCGACGGGAAAAACTGTGTTCTTCCCTGCCGGCAGTCTACCATATTCCGCAATAGAGTTCGCATTAAAATTAGTCTTTACTTTGTTGTTAGTGATTTACAGCATCTATCGTTTACTTACTCTTCGCGACTAAACTTAACTTCTAACTTAGCCACATTAATACTTTATATTGCTTTACTGTTAATAAAGATCTTGTGTAATTTTAACTTTATTTAGTAATATACTGTTATTTTCGTAAAATTGGAAGTGTTTGTGCAAAGTTGAATTAATTTCCTCATCGTACACAAATCCTGTTGCCTACCTACACGGCGCTAACACTACGGAATTCGCGGAGCTTCAGGGGTCTGAAGATCAATCGCCAAGGAAAGGCCATCTTCCAGGAAATCTTAAACATCTTAAAGCAATAGTAACATCGGGTAAAACACTATCATTTACTCGTTTGGTGGGTTACTTTCTCTCTTAGCCCAGATCCCGGGTAAAGTCTGGCTTTACAGATTGACTCAAAATAGGGCACATCTTCTTTTGACCGAATAAACGCTGGTGGCGTGACCGAGTCAAAAGAAATTATCTTTGGAATTGTTCTTGTTCGTTGACACCCCCTTCTGGGACGTCACAGGAAGAAAATTTGGTGGCAGCGATGGGATTGAAAAGAAGAGAGATAGTAACCTTGTTTAGCTTGGAGCCCTTGGTGCGAGATCGTAATATTCGTTTTTTTTTCGCAAATAAAAGATCTTATTATAAAATTATCCAAAATGGCAACAGACCGCGTAGGTACTAGGCCTGAATCTCCCCTCTCTGACGCCGGGTCGGCTGGATATGGGGAGGTAGCAGAAAGGGAGGTGTCCTTAAGAAAGAAAATGGAGGAAATCCTTTTGGTCCAGGAGCAGCTTACCAAGATGCAAATAGACTCACTCAAAAGACAGAGTGAATTAGACAAAAGGGAGAGCGAGTTAGAACTTCAAAAAAAAATTGACGCGTAGAGAACGTAGATTGGAACTTAGGGAAATTGGGATTCGCAGATCAGTAGGCGAAGATTTTGGGGGTTTTCGGGGTTTTGAACGCGTGCGAACTCCGGTAGATTCATTAGTTGCAGGTCCTAAGACACCCGAGATATCGCGACCCAGCTCTCCGCGACCGGCCCCTACACGCCGGAACTCTCTCACTATAATAGGAAATGACAGCGAACTAAAAGCAGAAAATGAGCGCTTAAGAAAAGAGTTAGAATTTTTGAGAGAGACAGTAGCTGCACCCCGTCCGCCCAGTCCAGCTCCGCGTACCGTACAGACTTCAGTGAAACTTCGCGAAGTGGCGGAAGCAGTACCTAAATTTAACGGGCACAACATTTCTGTTTCCCAATTTGTAAGGGCATGTAAAAGGGCCCTTGAATCGTTGCCCGAGGGATATGCTCACGACATGGAAATTTCCCTCACTAGACTGCAAATATCAAAATTAACCGGACTCGCATACGTTGTCGTTGAAAATTTGAAAATAACTAAGGTAGAGCAGCTCATAGAGCGCCTAAAGGACGAATTTTTGCCATCACATGGTTCGAATTATTACCGGGGACAATTAGCAACAGAATTAAAAAACCAAGAGAACATGTCCTTGACTATTTCAGCCGTGTTTGCGATCTGACTCAGTCAATAATTGACGAAGAGTCAAAACGGGTAGGTCGGTTGGAACGATCAATGGAGCATAAAATAGAGGAGAAAGGTCTCGATGCCGTTATCCGCGGGCTCCCATCTGATTATCATACCGCGTTGCGATTTGAGCGGTATACTGATTTTAGCTCCGCCCTAATTTGTTTGCTTCGGATAAATAAGCAAGTTGAGGATGACGCGAGGAGAGCGGCCTCCTCATCTTTGAGGGGTCGCATTGCCAATGTAAGGCCAATTAGGGAAGTAGTGGTTTGCGAACACTGCAATAAGCAGGGTCATCTGGAGCTTAATTGCTGGAATAAAAAGAAATATGTTAGTTCGAACCAGTTCGGTAGAAATTCGCCAAACTCGAAATCAAAATTGGGACAACGACGGAATCAGCGCTGTAATTATTGCAAAAAGATGGGACATTGGAAACATGAATGTCGAACATTAAAATTCAATTGCGAAAAACGAAAGTTGCAAAATCAGGGAAACGACGAAGAGGGTACGGCAGCGGACGCACGCCATTCCCCTTCTCCCAAACCACGTCCTCAAACTCCGCAATCAAAATCGGGACAATCAAAATTAGACAAATGAAATATGAACCGGTTGATGGCTCTCCCGTGGTCATGTGTATTTCCAGACAGTTGATTGGTACCGTGACACTTATGATCGACACTGGCGCTGACATAAATTTAATTAAGGTTAATGTATTACGCACAACGACCAAGATAAACGCTGACGAAACGATACAGATAACGGGCATCTCTCCACAGAAACATGATACCCGTGGTACTGTAAAAATTAGCATATTTGGAGAAGACGTTAAATTTCACTTGGTCAAGGAAAATTTTCCCATTCAATCACATGGTATTTTGGGGAACGAGTTCCTACGGTAAAAATCTGCTACAGTTGATTATACAAACGAATGACTCAATTTTTGCAATAAAACGATTCCGTTTGTAACCGACGAAGGTATTTGTATTACGTCGCGAACTTCACAAATTTGTTACTGCTACGTCGCGAACACTGAGGTTAAGGAAGGGTATATCCCTCGTTTGCGATTTCCACCTGGAATTTACGCTGGTGAAGCCTTAGTGAGAAATAGGAACGGAAAAGCATACTTTAAAGTATCAAACACGACTTCAGAGCCCGTCACATTAGCAATTCCGACGTTAGAATTATTGGATTATAATATTGAAACTCTTTCAAGTTCAGTATCCAATACCTCTGATCCTATATTCGACGTTCCTGATTCCAATCCATACGAATACGTGAATGCAATACATGCAATTTTTGCCTCTACCTCCGCAAACATGGCTCCCAAAACAGATGCTCCAAAATCTGAGATTACCTCAGCACCCTCTCGAGCGGAATCCGTTAAATTCCTCCTCCGTCTCGAACACTTGAATACGGAAGAGGCGGAGTTTGTTTCAAAATTAATTGCTTCAAACGCTGATATCTTCCATTTGCCAGGCGAACCTCTGGGAAG